TCAATACATTTTGCATACTGTACTGCCATATCAGCATATTTCGTCCAACGATCATAATCAGTATATGCATATGGGTTTATAAAGTGTACTTTCTCATTATTGTTGTCAACTATCTTCACCGAAGTTATTACTGTATCATAGCTATGTACCATCATATCCCAGGAATAACCGTATAAACCTTTCGTCCAGTTATTGTATCCTTTGGTTAGAAAATGAGAATATGGCAAGAATAATTGTAAAGCGCAATAAATCAAAATTGCAACGCTACGCAATAAAGCAGATCTACTAGTTTTATGTTTTTGTATTATTTCCTTTTGGCATGAACAACATAAGACACCTTTGAGTTCTTTAATTTCTTCCACTAGATTCTCTTTATTTAACACATTAGTCTTAGTATTTAACTGGTTTCCTTTATCAATGGTTTTAGTTTCCTTAGCAACTCCAAAATATTTTATGAAACTAATTTTACGCGGCCAGTCAAATCCGAAAAATAAAGGCACTTCTGCCAAGCACACCCAAGGAAACATACCTGAAATGAAAAATATCTTACAAAACAATTCTCATACAAAACTAAATTCATTTACCGATTACAAACAGTCGGGAGTTCATCAAATGAAAGCTAAGCATAAAGGGAGTTGCTAGTACCCTAGTTTTTTCCCATGTCATCAAAAATGCTATTGAAAAATCAAAAATTGCTGTGAACCAGTGTACAATAAATAAATCGATAGTATCCACTGAAAGTACAGAACGAAATGGTGCAAATACCCAATGACGACTGAGACTAGACATAGCATATCCCGACAACCATTCGGTAGTAAACTTTTTTAATCCAGCGTACATATACAAGATGAAAAATTGGAATTTAATCAGAAAATAATTCCAATAAGGTACAGTATCGGTTGAAGATGCATTTTTATATTTGTCCAATGAACTGAAAGATATAAAAAATTTTATAAATTCTAATTAATGTATATGAAATTAAACTTACTAGCAATTATTTGCCTGTGTAAATAATAGTATGCTACCCACCAAACCAAATAGATAACTATGATTATTCCAAGCAGGTTTGTCCAATAAAAATATATACCAATACGGTACTATATATATTAGACAGCTTAATCGAAAATTATAACCCAACATAATACCCATAGCACCCAAAAACATTAAAATATATAAACAACCCATAATTGGTAGGCTAGCTGCTGATATGAAATTGAAAAGTGGGAAATGACAATGTTGTGGTTCACCAAATCGTACATCAAGTTGTGCGCCACCACGTTCCTCTGCAAGATCTATTAACATAGCAGCACCTAACGATATATAAACATAACATTAATATATTTCGATGTTATATATTTAATAAATATTTAATACATTTTATAATATTATATAATTTATTATATATAATATGATATATATATAATTTATTAATATATTTAATATAAAGCTTACCATAGAATATACGAAATGCAGCCAAAGCTGATGAATCCACTGGTCGATTTAACCAATTCGTAAAATTTGAAAGGTTTTGGAAATTGTTAAGATCGTAACCGGAAAAATTTCGGAATATACTTTCAAATATATTATGGGTTTTTTGTGCTCTCGTTTCCTTGCCTTCCTTGTTTGCATAAATCGACTTAGTTGTTTTAGACATTTTTTGGACACTAAAATTAATTTTATGTACATATGGTATATTAATTTAATACAGTTGTTTGCTTATTTCCTGTTGTCAACTTTTGGAATAATTAAAAGAGCATCAAAATTAATTATAAAAAGATATATAAATAAGTTAAAGTTTATAATTTTAAGTCTTTACAAAAATATATTGAATGAATTAAAACTTGTTTTAGCCTTATTAATAACTGCCTTCAAATAGCAGGTACTATTCCAGCACTATATTGTATGTTTCAAATATCTGTGCCAGGTGTATCGTTCATACACAAATTATGATATTTGCACCTAATCACAATGATCATCATACATATTTAGATTTTAAATAAAAATATGATATGATACACATACATGATAATTGTTATGATAAACATATTTCGAAGATTAAATTTCAATATATGATTTATTTATACGATATAATAGACTACTAGACTAGACCTAGACTTTAAAATATAATTCCAACTGTTCGAAGCTTCGAACATTTTAATGTTTGTGGTTACACAGACTATATCAGCTGTTCGATTCAAATGTTTCAATTTAGGTATACTCGAGATTCATAATGTTCGAACACTTTCAGCTCCTTGATTTCACCATACTTAATTTATTTTAAATTATTTTATTCTTTTATTAAATCTTTTTTTAACTCATATAGTTATATATAACATTATATAGCTAGGTCGTACTGTCCGGTAATGGCCAGTCATAAACCTGATTTATAACACTTTAATGACGGTAGTTATTTCATTAACTGTTAACATAAACGTTATGTACAGTATATTTTTTTATAAATATTGATTAGAATCACTTCGTGTAGTTAATCGCAGATTTTTAAACATAGATTATGAATCGTCAAGGCTGATGTAATGATTTGTAAAATGATTGTATATATTTTAAAAGTCCCAGATTTGCAACATCTTCCAAAAACATAACGATTCATGTTATTTTAGGACAGATAACTTTAAAATAGTACAGTTCCGTTCAAAAAGAGGTCAAATGATTACTCTATCTAAAACATATAAGATACCATGTTTCATTATCCTATATTAAACAAGCTTATTTTTTAAATTATGTAAAGATTAATATATCATTCAATGATTATGTTAAACTATGTTCATTATATCTATGTCTATATCCAAATGTGTTGACTCATTTGATTAATAATAAATCTACAACATCAGTATCTTCTAATACATAAGAAGAATTGGGCATCAATAAAATATCCGAATCGTCTGCGGTTTTATGATAGTCGCTTCGCACCGTTATAACCCTGTCCCTGTTTTTTATCTTTTTTTTTTAACAGTAGGGTTTTGCATATTCCTTTTCTTCTATTGCCTAGTAGATTTCAATCAAGATTCATTCCTATTTGCAGTTAAAACTTATTATATATATTCCCCAAAATTTTAATTGAACTATTCACATTTAGGAATTAATATAGTTTCATATTCGGTTAATTTGTCAATTACTTTAAACTATTGTTTAAAACTCAATAAACCACAATACATGGTATAAAATTGTTTGTCATAAAATAATTAATATTAAGGCATTAATTAAATTTAAACACTGCCTATATTTTATTAAAAATGGACTGATTGAATTTATTAAATTAATACGGCTCGTACTAATTCTATATATCATTCAAAAATAAAATATTGAGTTTAATAAACTCAATATTTAATTTATTATATTTAATAATTCAAAAAACCCGACCTGAGGAAAGAAGTTAAACAAATTCGTAACATTAGGGGCAGTGCAGGTAGCTACATTTCGTAATTATTATATGAATACATCTATGCATTCTTAAAAATTAACTCATTTTATTTATTAAATGTAAAAATTAAAAAATAATTTCAAATAACCCGCACTGGGGAAGAAGTCAAAAGAACTACGAAACGTTGGCTTTATAAAACTCTAATAAAATACCTATATTTTATTTTTATATAAAGTTTGATATTTATCCTGAAGCCTAAATTAATTATAATCTTTCTAGAATAAAAAAAAAAATTTTATTTGTTGATATAAATCTCATTAAGTATAAACATAATATTAAAAATAAACATATATTATTATTTTATATGATTGATTTATAGTTTATAGTATATTCCCGATAAACATATATATTTTATTTTTATATAAAGTTTGATATTTATCCTGAAGCCTAAATTAATTATAATCTTTCTAGAATAAAAAAAAAAATTTTATTTGTTGATATAAATCTCATTAAGTATAAACATAATATTAAAAATAAACATATATTATTATTTTATATGATTGATTTATAGTTTATAGTATATTCCCGATAAACATATATATACATAAGCCTTACTACCGTGTGACCTTTTTGGTCTGCCAGCATAACCTAACCTACATAAGACTTAATTAGTAAAAACAATAAAAAATGAAACATATTTTGTATATTTTTCTGAATTTATTAAAAATTCGACATAAATACATGCATGCATATTGATTTTTTTTTTTTGTTTGTATACTAAATACATTTTGGGTAAATAACTAATTTTTTATGTATTTTCACTTTTTTTACTAAAAACATAAAATTTTATAAATTTTATAAAGTTTACATGAATGTAAAAATTTTTAATGCATATCTTATAAATGATATTAAATGAGAATATTTCGAAACTGTATTCGACATTTTTATGTTGACAATGAAATGTGGCAAAAACGAATTTATCTTATTCATTTAAATTTTATATCGGTAGTTTCTAAAATTTGAAAAATTTGTTTTCTTATATATTGGAAAAGCTTTTAAAATTTTCTAAATTCTACATTTTGTTTTGTTAATAATAAATTTATTGTTTGTGTTTGTTGCTTAAATAATTTTGCCATTATCCTTGTTTACGCTTGCGAATATATTAATTCATATTTTAACTTGTAAGAGAATAAATTGTAAATATTAAATATATGTATTTCTTTCATTTTAAAAGTTGAATAATATTTTATAATTTTAAATCATTTATTGTTTTATCATCATCATATTGTTTTATTATTTATAAAAGCTTTTGTTAAAATTCCAGTAAAATACTTGCAAAGAATATATGAACAAATGAGCTTAAAAGTATGAAAAATAATTAATAAAGTCTTAAAGTAAAAACTAATTTATAAATTTTTAATATATTTTTTTTTGTATTTTTTGTTTAAATTCATAGAAATTTAAAAGTATTATATATTAAATAATAGAAAAAAAATATAATCGAAAATTTGAAAATATTTACTTAAAGCAAAATCTTTGGAAAGTTCTCGTTTTATAATTTTTGTTGATTTAAAAATGTTTTTTTTTTTAATAATGTGTTTTGAAAATCGTTTTATTTCTTTTTAGGTTAAATATTCTTTAAAATCTTTTAAATGTTTTATATTTTATACTTTTGTTTTTTATTTTTGCTTAATGTGGTGTAAATATACGACATATACGAGTAAGTTGCTAATTTTCATTAATAATTTAAGTTTCAATTCTAAAATATTTGAAATGCATTTTTAAATCTTGTTAAGCTTTTATTTTATAAATTGTTATTTTGAAATATTTTTGAATAGAAGGGATAAACATTGTAATATATTTTCAGTAAATTGAATTATTATTTAATCGCTGAAGTTTTATGGGAAAAAGTTTTAAAATTTCATTTGCCAGCGACTTTGCCTAACTCACCCAGTCCCCAACCATGCACACACATATCACGATTAACTTCACTACACCTTCAACAGATTCATTTCATATGTTTTATATTATCAAGGAGTGCATTACTTGCCATCTCTTTCACACGTTTGCTTGTCTGGTTGGTGACTTTTACCCTTCTTTTGCCCCTTTTTCCTTCAAATACGATTTTGGTTCAACTGTGAACGTGGGGTAAATGGGCTTACCATAACGCCGCTAAAATAAATTATAATTTTATTAAATATTTTACAATTGTTAATTTATTTAATTATTATTATTTTATATATTTACCTGGGCCAAATGGACTCATTGAACAGTTCACTGAAGCGATAATCTGGTATAGAAATTTTAAATTTGCAATATGATAATTGCGATAAGTTTGCATCGTTCTTAACTAGTTTAGTGCACTTAACTAAGTTCTTATTAATTTTAAGCTCTTCTGCCAAGTGCTCAATGACATCGTCTTCACTGGTTGAAGTTGCAAACTTGCCTACTTGCACCCAACGCCCATAGTCGCAGACCACTTGCAGACGATCTGAATTACAATTGTTGCCAACCACAATTAGATTGTTAGTCTGTTTCTTTCCATCCACATTATTGGCATTTCCAAATTGAAAATATTGTTGGTACATTCGTCCCTGTATTTGATTAATACCATTACAGACTTTATTCAGCTTATCCTCCATAGTGCTTAACTTGGCGGCCAGCGCCTTTGGCGATTGATTTTTGCATTCATCACAGTTAAATGCAATCAATGGATTTTTTTGTATGGCATCATAAACGGCGTCATCAACGTTAACACATGTTCGGTGAAACTTTTTCAGGCAATCATCTGAGTTGCATATAATAATTGGATCCTTGGAGTTGATTGATTTTTTACACTTTGGACAATTTTCAGCCATCTTTAATCGGTTTGCAATCGTTTCCACTTTTTTTTTGTAGGTATAACAGCAGCAAAGAGAAATCCCACCAGTAAGGGTATGGAACGAACGAGGAGGTGCAAGTAAAAAAGAAAAATATTCTAAAGTTTATGAAAAGCCGCCGCCGTTTTTGCCAAACCGTGTATCTGGTCTGTGCGCTCCGAGTGCTTCTGTTCAACTGTAGAAAATCACTATCGAATATACTCTTAGCCGGTTTTTTCCTCAATGATGACAAATGCAACCTACCCTTATCTCATATGGCGACTTACATATATATAAATATGTATTTTTCAACCCTTATAGTTTTATTTTTCAACATATGTATACATGTATATTTGAATGCACACTAGTTTACATGCAGTTCTTGGACCCTTTATAACGTTTTTATATTTGCTTAGGTGATTTTTAGAAAATATAATACTAATTCTTCACTTAATAATGAATTTATTATAACTTCGCGAACAAGCAACGAAAATTACGCTAAGTAAAGTTTTTTTTGCTTATCTGAACTTTTTTATTTTGGATTTTATTGCTTCTTTTTCCCAACATTCACAATGATTTCCTTTTTGAGCCAACTATTCACGATATACAGATAAGCTTAATAAATTTTGTGAAGAAGTTTAGTAAAATATTTAGCATAAATATAAATATAAATACATTATATATTATTTATCAAAAACTGACATAAAGACATAAAATTGCAACTAATTAAATAATTGCATGTTCTAAGATTAATTATTTTATACTGATATACGAAGGCGTATTTATCTAGTTACATGAGGGCTTTGGTTCAGCGCCACAGACGAGGTGCGGCGCAAACCATTGCACTGTAGACCTTTGAAAGCATTTAGTAATCATTGATAGTATCTTGAATTAAGATTTGTGGCTTTTTGTTTAGAGGAATATCTTTAATAAAATATGGAAAATCTTTGAATAGAACTATGTAAATATATATCATGTGTGTGTAAGATTAAAAATTTCCAATGAAATGATTTTTCAAGTTAAGAAAACATGATATGAGTAAATTACGTTGGTTTCCAAAATAGTTTTTCGGGTTAAAAATATATGATATGAATAAACATACTTTGTTTGTAATGTTCGTTTTCTGTACCTAAAAGCATCAAAATTGTCTACAGTTCCGGATAAGCAAAGAATATCAACCAGGTTAGCCACCCTCAATATGCAGACAGTGTTTAAAAAATGAAAAATTTATATAAATAAGTATAATAAATAGCTCTTTTGGCAAAATTTAATTATTTTCTGTAAAATATTCTTTTTGCTGATTGGTTTTCACAGTCTTAAAACTTGACTGTAACGTTCTCTAGAATGTCAGTGGTATAAGCCTTATGGATATTTCTTTTTGTAGATAAAACGATTTCCATTTCTTGGCGACTGTATTTTTTTATGAAACTAAAAATTACAAATTGCCAACTCAGATAAGTATGAGAAGTGATTAACAAATTTTTGCATCATAATAAAAAATAAATATTATGAAAATAGTATTTATTTTTTACAAATCCCTTTTTATTTTTAAAATATATGCACATATATAAATAATCAAATGCTTAAAAGTTTTTGTCCAGCCAAATACTTTATTACAAAAACTATTAACATAACTAAAGTCTATATTAGTCTATATTTAACAATATAAACCATCTCTAGATGTTTTTATCTTATATTAATAAATTTGACAATAATATATTAATCAAATCAACGATTTTCAATTAATTTTCGATATCCTTGATTATATGAAGGAAACCGATTTTCTGATTTGCAGCTATACAAGGCGGATATTAACATTTTCAAAACGAATAAATCTCTTAATGTAACTGAAACACTTTAGACACATATGTTATTTTGCTTGAGTTTGAGTTTCTTATGGCACTGTTACTCCATCTTTCATTAGAAAACATCAAACTTATGATGTATGGTAAAAGTTCTAAAAGTACATTAAAGACAGAGTGCACTTTCAAACTGCACTGTTTTAAAACAAATGCTATAAATATTCCGTGTATATTCTTATGTATTCTATATATTATTGTGTTTGTTTTAATATATCTGAATTATCTTTATTTATATCTTTGTCTTTATATTCTATTAATTAAAATATTCATTGGTTTTCCGAGTATTCATAATATGGACAACTTCTAGACTGGATAATAATTTATAGATATACCAAAATTGAACCAACAAAGTCATAAAGTAAAATGTATAAATAGATGAAACTCAAATATACCTCCACAAATACCGGACATTTTTCATATATCTTGTCCTTATTATGTTTATACATAACAAAAAATTCCAACATTATATTATATATATATAAAGAAGTTTTTACCTTATTTATGTATCTAAAATTAATGTTTAGTAAGAAAAGTTATGGACAACGCCGAAAGCACGAAGCTATGAAGCTGATTTCTGGCTTAATGTGCTGGTTAATAAAAAATTGTGAAAATATGGATAAATACAAGCCAAAAGCGATTTATTCATTATACGGATGGAGTTTTTAAAATATATTAATACTGGCTATATGATTGGATCGTGCTAATTCAAAAATAAAAAATCGGATGTTGTCGTTAATGGAGCCCGCAACAAAGCGACACCAGTTATTTAAGGAATTGATTGATGATAATTCTAGAAAGTGAGCTGATTTATGACATTATAGAAAATACTGATATAATTTTCGTTAAAATAATATTTTTTGCAGAGGTATTTTAAGTCAATGGTCTATACAGAGAAGTACATTAGTATTTTTAGTATTTTAGTTATAGAAGCAAACATAGAATGCGGCAATCAAAGACCTTAAGTATTTGATAAAATGCTGGAAATAAAATACTGTTAATATACTATATTATACTACTTATACTTAGTAATATACTATACTAAAATCTGTTGAAAATGTCTTTAAAATAACAGATTATATAAGAGAATAAAAACTTATATAACAAAAATAGAACAAGGCAACAGAGTGTTTTTCGGGCTGACCTGCAGTTCGGGCTGACCTGCAGTTTTTTATCACCATAGTCTTTGCAAACAATTAATAGTTTAGTAATTCACATATAATTTTTAGACTGGTACTTTAAAGTGTTTAAATTTATTTAAATATGTGAAAGTGTTATGAATTTTATAATTCACATAAATTCATTTTATGAAGGAATTAAGAGACTTAAGGAAAAAATCAAATAACTTTTTTTTTTAATATATAAATATATACTTTATAATGTTCACTATTTGTATTTTGAGTTATTTATTTCGCATTGATATTTAATAGTGATTAATTCAAGATAAAATCTCATATATAAAATATTTATTTATTTATTTGTGAGTTAACATTAAAAGTAATTTTAAAGTTAACTAAGAATAAGGAATTGGACTGCTAGGTCTTTCGCCCTAAGAATATATTAAATATAATTTTAAAGCCCTTATATATATATGCAACTAAATTTAATTCAAATTTGTTGGAACATTTTTTGGCATAGGAAAATATGCATCGAAAAATTATATGTCGGAGAAGAAGGTAGAGATTTTTTTGAGATAGAGAGACTTA